CTCTGATGAGACCTGTCCAGTATGGTTGAACCTCTAGCATAGCTCTCATCTTCCTCAGAGTACACAAGCCCCACAACCACGTCAAGGTAGTGCCTCACTGGGGGAGCTCTCATCTTCCTCAGAGTACACAAGCCCCACAACCACGTCAAGGTAGTGCCTCACTGGGGGATTATTATTATTATTATTATTATTATTATTATTATTATTATTTCCTGAATCATGCTGGCTGAAGAATTCTGGGAGTTGAAGTCCACAAATCATAAAGGGTCTATAGTTCCTCAACTCTATTTTAGGAGATGACAACCAGTTGTAACATGATATGAAAAGAATTATATGAGATGAATAGAATAGAATAGAATAGAATAGAATAGAATAGAATAGAATAGAATAGAATAGAATAGAATAGAATAGAATAGACCTTGGAGGTCTTCTAGTCCAGCACCCTGCTCAAGCAGGAGAACCTGTTTCGTCTCAGACAGGTGAATGTCTAGTCTCTTCTTAAAAATCTCCAGTGATGGAGTGCTCACAATTTCTGGAGGTAAGCTGTTCTACTGGTTGATTGTTCTCATTGTCAGGAAGTTTCTCCTTAATTCCAGGTTGCTTCTCTCTTTGATCAGTTTCCAACCATTGTTTTTCATCCTTCCCTCTGGTGCTTTGGTGAATAACCTGGCCCCCTTTGCCTTGTGGCAGCCCCTCAGATACTGGAACACTGCTATCATGTCTCCCCTATTTCTTCTTTTCTTTAGTCTAACTAAACCCAAGTCCTGTAGCCATTCTTCATATGTTTTAGTGTTCAGGCCTTTGATCATCTTAGTTGCTCTTCTCTGAATTTTTTCCTAACTCTCAACATCTTTTTTTGTGGTATGGTGACCAAAATTCGCTGCAGTATTCCAGATGTGGTCTTACTAGGGTTTTATAAAGCAGTACTAATACTTCGCATGATCTTGATTCTATGCCTCTGTTTATACAACCCAGGATTATGTTAGCTTTTTTGGTTGCTGCTGCACACTGCTGGCTCATAGTCAAGTGATCGTCCACTAGGACTCCAAGGTCCCTCTCACAGTTGCTGTTTTTAAGCCAGGTCTCGCCCAACTGTATTTGTACCTTTGATTTTTTCTGCCTAAATGTAAGACTTTGCTTTTCTCCACATTGAAACTCATTTTGTTGGATAGAGCCCATTGTTCAAGTTTGTCAAGATCTTTTGGGATCCTGAGTTTGTCTTCTGGGGTGTTGGCTACTCCTGTCAGTTTGTTGTCATCTGCAAATTTGATGAGTTCCCCTTCAATTCCTTCATCTAAGTCATTTATGAAGCTATTGAAGAGTACTGGGCCTAAAACGGAACCTTGTGGTACTCCACTGCTTGCTTCTCTCCATGTGAATGTAGTGCTGTTGAGGACTACTTGTTGAGTACGGTTTGTCAGCCAACTACAGATCTATCTGGTGGTGATGTTGTCTATTCCACCTTTTCCTAGCTTACCAAGGAGAGGGTTGTGGTCTACTTTTTCAAATGCCTTACTGAAATCTAAATATACTACATCCATTACATTTTGCTGGTCTATTAGTTTAGTCACTTTGCTGAAGAATGAAATAAGATTGGTTTGGCATGATCTGTTTTTAACAAACCCGTGCTGGCTACTAGTTATGATTTTGTTTGCTTCTAGTTGTTCGCAGATCTGTTTTTTGATTATCTTTTCTAGGATCTTCCCAGGTATTGATGTTAAACTGATTGTTCTGTAGTTTCCTGGGTCTGTTTTTTTTTTTTCCTTTCTTGAAGATGGGAACCACATCAGCCCTTTTCCAATCCTCAGGTACTTTCCCAGTGCTCCAGGATTTATGAAAGATGTGGTGCAACGGTTCTGAGATAACATCTGCCAGCTCTTTCAGAATTCTGGGATGTAGTCTATTGAATCCACTGATTTAGCTCTTTCCACAAGAGGTAGATTTACCAGATGTGTTGATGGCATTGTTGTGTCATACCAAAGTTAGAAATTAATTCCAGATGGTAAGAAGAAAATGAACTCTTCTCTGGAACCAAAAGGAAAGTCAGAGTAAGACAGCCTTTTCTAAAGAAACATTTCATAACAGGTAGCTATTACTTAAGTAAAAATTATATAATTCTGAACTGGCAGGCCATAGATTTAAAAATATTTAAGTTTCTTTTACATCAGCGAAATGAGAAATTAATTTTGTTTATTTGTATCCCACCTTTATTATTTTTTACAAACTCAGGGCACCAAACACCATCCTCCTATTTTTTCCACAATAACAACCCAGTGAGGTGGGCTGGGCTGGGAGTGACTGGACCAAAGTTATCCAGTTGGCTTTCATGGCTAAGGTGAGACTAGAATTTGTAGTCTCCCACTTTCTAGCCTGATACATAGACATTAATAGTGATGGAATCCATATAGAAAAGCACCCGGTCATTGATTGGTGCAATTCAGAATATATTCTTGCAGTGCTTGTCTTGCAGAACTGTATACTGTACAAAGCAAATGCAAAACAACTGCACATCATAAGCATTTTAAAATAAACATACATCCACACATAAACTGATTTGCTGAAGATTCATAATTGGTGTTAGTATGTTGATACTTAAAGGTCCATCTCTAAACAAAATTGATATTTAGTCTCTTGTGAAAGCACACTAGTAAAGTCTGAAAATAAGTGTTTGTCATAGATATACAAGACAAATCCCATCTTGAGCCTAATTAGATAGGGAATGAAGAATTTTAAATGTTAAGTGGGAAAGAATCATTCTACAATATATATATAACTTATAATGTAGAGTTAATATACTTGAGTTAGCATGAAGCAGTTGGGAAGTACTAATTATGTTTTTCAGAAAGCTTCTATTAGCATTATTTGAATTAATGGTGCATTGACATATATGGTTCCAGATTCCACTGCAGCTTTCCTTGAATTTGGAATATTTGGAAGTTATTACTGCCAAATGTTGGTATTTTCAGTCTTCCTCTTTGTTTTCTTTGACACTGCAGTTTTAGTTTGAGTGTGATTTCAAAGATGTCAAACAAGATTTCTGTCAGATCAGGTGCATACTTTGAAAAACATATACTACTAAGTCCCTGCTTCTATTATATAATATATAAAATGGCCGCACATGGTGTTCTACTAGTGTACCTTGTGGGAAAATATATATTATTTATGTGTTTATTAGAATTGTATACTTCCTCAGTGTAAAAGGCAAGATGGTTTACAACTGGGCCTCCTCTCCTGGGATTTCATGTAGCAAGCCAGTACTAGATGTTTAATAAATGTGTACCTCTAATGCAAAGGCTATCCTAGGAAAGTGAATGAATTTTATAGATAATCCTAAACAGACTTCATTCCCAACATATTTAATAGTTTTACTCTGCTTTTCACATAGCTTGTTTTTCATGGAAAAGCATGGGAGAGCAGCTCTGGTCTGCAGGAGGCCAACAAACAGACCTTGACAGTAAAAGATGTCAGCCTTATATGCTGGAAATCCAGAAAGGCCATTTTGAATTATTAAGCTAACATTGTTCATTGGTCAGTTACTATCTTTCAGCCAGACCTAACCCACCATACCCCTGATTCCTGTTATGAGTATACATTGTGTTTCCTGTGCATTCTGCCTTGAACTCCAGAATATATTGAAATAACACAATAATAATTGGAGGTAGTAATAACAGCAGTATTGTACCAATAATAGTAAAGCTATTATGGCTAATATTGCTGCTAAGGGACTACTCCCTGTAATCTTGTTTTCAAGCTTTTTTTACAAGCTGTTTGTATCTCCACTTCAGTTGGGTAATAGTGGGACACACAAATGTGAATTAAGTTTTTTTACCTGATCCAACAGGGTGGGACCAAGAAAAAGGAACTGTGTATGATGGATCCATTATCAGATATTGTGAGACTGTTTATTTTTGTCTGCCTTTGAGTAATTTTAATTTTGTTTATGTATATTTATTTATATGGAAAGAGAGAGGAATGCTTTAAATTAATAGGAATTTTATTGTAATTAATATTATCTGATATATTTTTATTTTTTTGTAACCCATATTGAGGGGCTAGTCATCTTTTACTAACTACAGATGTACAGGGACAATACTTACAGTTCAAAATCCTACTGAATTCAATGGGATGGTCACTGAGCTGTTGCTGTTAATAGGTTGATTACACATGCCTTTGATATTACATTGTTGTTCAGTTATTTTGCGTGGCTGTATATATTGCAATTCATGTAGTGTCTCTGGACCTCTAGAAGTATTAGCGAAACAACCCTGTCCTTCCTCAATTGCCTTGAGAAAAGCCACTTCAAATGCAACTTTCTTTTGGGGGATTTGTGCACAAGTTTGCCTCCTGAATGAAGGAAGGGGCAGAGCTAATAATGAATTGAACACCACCCTCAGCCAATTCATCTTGCTAACTGTGGAATAATTAATCTTGCCCAAGTCAATTATTAATTAATTAATCTTCTTTCGGCAGCCAGTGTATAAAGCAGGATTCTTTTCTTAATTTTCCCCCGATAAACCTGATAAACTCTATCTTTTGCTTTGTTGGAAGGGTGAGGCAGGAGCAGAAATTAATACTGGAAACCAATATTATCTGCTCTTTTCTCTCTTTTTTGTATATGTTCACTGTTTCTGATATCTTTTTGATCTGTTGTCATTAAGTTAACGTATAAATACATAAAGGAAATCACATTCTGGAAGTATAGATAATGGAAGTTTGGGCCTATCTACAACTATTTTTTGAGTCTCAGATAACCTTGTGACTATAGAATCTGCTCTAGAATAACTCATCTTCTTTAGCTGCCACTATGAAAACAGAAAACATGCAATCAGAGGGTAGCAAAGAGGCTACAGAAAAAATTCTCATATTCTTTCAAGCTCCCAGTGATATAACTGGATGTCTAAATAGACATTACTTATTCTTTTTGGGAACTTGGGAATCTCACAGTAGGACAAATCGAGACATAGATTCCTCAAACTAGCAATCACACTTGTCATTTGTGGATGACACTGTCATATAAAATAATTCATTGTTTAATTTTATTTCAGGACTCTGAGTTTGATCCCATGAAATTTGCTAGCACCATTGAATGTGAAGAACCCAATAATGATATACGTAGGTTTCGAGGCTTCATGTGAGTATAATTTACTATTTCATCTGCAGTTTTGATTTACTTAAGGTGGAATTGCCCTATTATAATATAGTTTTGGATATTCTTTCAAATGTTAAAACTTGTTTGCTAATTTAAATGAAAATACTTAATTTTTTACAATCCCCCCCCCCAATTATAATGTATTTTGATGTTTCATTGCTAGGAAAGGATCCAAATAATAATACAGAATGACAGAATTGGAAGGGACCTTGGAATTCTTCCAGTCCAACCCCCTGCTCAGGCAGGAAATCCTATAACATTTCAGACAAATGGTTGTCCAATATCTTCTTAAAAACTTACAGTGTTAGGGCACCCACAACTTCTCAAGGCAAATCATTGCACTGATTAATTTTTCTAACTGTCAGGAAACTTCTTATTTCTAGGTTGGTTCTCCCTTTCATAAGTTTCCATCCTTTTGCTTCTTGTTCTGTCTTCAGATGCTTTGGAGAATAGGTTGACCCCCCTCTTCTTTGTGGCAGCACCTCAGATATTGGAACATTGATATCATCATTGATAGCAGTGACTTAATGACTTAATAATGATTGGCTGAATACTTTTAAAATATCTGTAATCAGTTTTTTCTCTTTTTTTCTCATTCTGTTGCTTATATAACGTTCATGGTAAAAAAGCACATCCTGAGAACACAATGCTACATTATCTGCGATCTCTGAATGAAGTTACAAAAAGTATAGGGGCAAATCCCATCCTATGCCAGTCAAGCATTTAGGACATAGAGGTCACAACCAGCAGCCTGTTTCTTCAGTTTCACAAGCTTACCATGAGATTTTAGGCAATGATTTAGGCTTCTGTAAACATTGTTTTGAGTGATAAATTGTTTCGGTATCTATGAACTTTAAGGATTATTGAACATTGCAATCATTATGTGAGATAAAAAAAAACCTTTAGCAGAGCAATAGAAGAACTAGTTTGTAAGAGAATTGGTGTACACTCTTATCCTTTCCTTCTTTTTCTTACCTGCTGTACAATTATATTTTTATGATTGCACCTTCTCGGGGGAAAGGCAAGACTTTATAAGTACATAAATACTGTGGGGAAAAAAAGCAATAATATATTTTTTTAAGCAGCAGTACATTGAATTCTTAAAAACTAAATGAATTATGAACTGCTGCAGTATGTGATGCATCATCAGTTTGGCTGTTGTCTTATTAAGATGATGTCTTAATAAATAAAGCCAATTTCTCTAGTATCAAAGTGGCTTTCTATCATTTTCCTGGATCCAAATGATTATCAGAAAACTATTGCCCTCTTTCAGGTTACTTTGTTCTAAGCTATGTTCTGTGGACTCATGTAGCTCTCAAAGTGTCCTTTTTAAAGGTCTTCACCAAATTTCAGCAGCAAAATACAGATTTTTCAGTGGTTCACGTTTTGCTGGTTTCCTGAAAAGAACTATGAAAATGTCCTCATAAAATCTCAGCAAGAGAGTGTCCCTATCCGCTCAAATGAAGTCAGAGCTTCACTAGCTATGCTGTTTGCTCCCAATCTCTACTATAGCTAGCCAATATTTTGCAAATGTTTATTTTGTTAATGATAACAATATTTTATTAATGATACCAAACTTTCATATGATTCAGAGGGGCCATCGTCTAATGCAACAGTTCTTAGCCACAAAAGCAGCCACATCTTTTTATATTTTCAGATTCATATAGAAGTCTCAAAAAGGCACTCTGTTTTAATGAACAGAGAAGAAGAACTGCAGCCCAGCAAATCCTAATTTTTAATTTTCATTAATTTATATTTGTTAGGAGTTAAATCTTTACATTGTTTTGAGCTTCCTTTTATCTTTATCTTACAAGCTCCTTCAAATATTTAAATATTATTTAGAGCAATACATAAATAAATCTTATTTATTTCCTAATGATGTGTGAAATGTTGTGGTCATGGATACAATACAGGTAGCCCTGGACTTACAACTGTTCGTTTAGTGACCATATGAAATTATAACATCACTGAAAAAAGTGACTTATGACCGGTTTTTCACACTTACAATGTACAACCATTGCAGCATTTTCATGGTCATGTGATTAAAATTTGGATGCTTGGTAACTGGTTCATATATATGATGGTTGCAGTGTCCTGGGATGACCTTCTAACAAGCTAAGTCATTGGGAAAGCTGGATTCACTTAACAGTTCTATTACTAACTTAACAGCTACAGTGATTCACTTAAAACTGTGGCAAGAAAGGTTGTAAAATGGGGCAAAATTCACTTAACAACTGTCTCATGTAGCAACATAAACTTTGGGCTCAATTGTAGCGTAAGTCAAGAATTACCTGTAGTACATAAAACTCTTAAATATGTTTTTTTTTCTCGTGCATTTAAAAGTTTAACCCTATTGTTTGATAAATTACCCAAATAATCTATTTGTTTCACAATACTGAAAGAGAAAATATTGCACTGATGTTTTGTGAAATATCATGATATAATACTCTGAAATAAGTATTCCATTATGGGAAGCCAGTGTGGCTAAATATAAAACGGTCAAATTCAGCCTTTCTAGCTTCCCTAGAAATTGCTTAAACTTAATACAGTATATCTTCCTCCTCCATCGTTTTTAGTTAATACACGTTATTTATAAATAAATTATTACCTCCTTCCTTCTTCCTTTTTGGCAGTGTGCATAAGAATGGGAAAAAAGTTCCATTGTGTAAAGAAAACCTTTTGTTACGAGGATGCACTATTAGAAATACAGAAGAAGTCTCTGGAATTGTGATCTATGCAGGTAAGCTATGGTTGTTATCTTTGTACTTATTATATATCTTTTTACCTCCCTTCATTCTTAGTTCCATTTCTATATGCCATCATTTAATCAAGTAATTTTTTTTCAGGTCATGAGACAAAAGCCTTGTTAAATAACAGTGGGCCACGTTACAAACGCAGTAAGCTTGAAAGACAAATGAATTGCGATGTTCTTTGGTGTGTCCTCATACTTATCACAATGTGTTTGTTTTCTGCTGTTGGTAAGTTCCTTTAACTTTTATCTATGGACCATAAAATACTGAGAAAACTCAGAAAAATCAAAATGAAAATACAGATAAATAAGTATTTTGAAACCACCTCTTTTGGCCTAATTAAATATTGAAGGCTTACTGTACTTCTGATGGACTGAATTAGATGGCCAAGAAGGAAGAATTTTTCTTTCTTTAAAATACAAATTCAATATTCTTAGCCACTAAGATAGTGCCAAAAACAATATATGACATATTAAATAGCAGGAGTACAATCCCAGTCTTGTTATATTTTGTAAACCAACCAATCCTGCTTTGTGAAGCATAAATTCAAACATAACTACAAAGCAAAAGCAACAGAAGGAAGAGAGAATTAGGACGAATCTCCTAATTTAGCCATACAAAATAATCCCTTAAAAAGAGATGAACAATTCTGACATCTCAAGAAGAGTTGAATACAAGCATCAGAGGATTTTACAAATTACTTTTAATGCATTCAATTTTTTTCTGGTTTAGATTAAAATCTGAACTGGAAGAATTCCCAGATCTTTCTCTCTTGTCATACATGTATACAATGCACTAATCCTTGTATACATTGTATACAATCCACACATCATTCCTAGGAACTCCAATCTTTCAAACACTACCAGAATAATTCAAATATAGGAACAATAGCAACACAAATTAAGCAGAAGAATAGTGAGATGTCTCATATTGCTCACAATAGTATATTTAGCTTGTCACTGGATTTTAAAACATATGTTTCTCCCCCATACACACTCACACGTATGCTTGTTCAACCTGATTTCAACTATGTAAGATCAATAATAATGTTCTTCTCACTCGGTATTATCCACACTAGCTGCAGCGAGTAGGTTTTTGCATCCTTCAAGATTCTATAGGCCTTGTATACCCAAAGCACATTGTATCTAATAATGTCATAGTCCTTCCCTAAGAGAGAAAATCGTATCCCTCTCTAATAAAGAAACTATCATATAAAAGTAATCCTCAACTTACAACAGTTCATTTAATGACCGTTCAAAGTTACAACTGTACTGAAAATGTGACTTATGAACGTTTTTCACAGTTACAACCTTTGCAGTATCCCCAAAATCATGTGATCAAAATTCAGATGTCTGGGCAACTTATTTATATTTATGACCATTGCTATGTCCCAAGGTCATGTAATCACCTTTTGCAACCTTCTGACAAAGTCAATAGGGAAGCCAGATTCACTTAACAACCAAGTTACTTACATATCAACTGTAGTGATTCATTTAACAACTATGGCAAGGAAGGTCATAAAATGGGGCAAAACTCATTTAACAAATGTCTCACTTAACAACAGAAATTTTGGGCTCAATAGCGGTCATATGTTGAGGACTATTTGTATTAGATCATTCATCCATCTAGTTTACAAGTGCTTATATCAGGTGTGTAAAACTTGGATCCATTGGCCATGACTGACTCTGTGGAAGTTGGTGAAGGGCACCTAGTTATTGGAACTTGATTTATACTGACTAGCTGTCTGAGTTTCAGAAAAGAGTCTTTCCTTTTATTATCTGAAAATGTCAATGATAAAATGTTTGGCCACTGCATACAAATTGTGTGGCTGTCACTGAACCATTATATTCATAAGTGGCCTTGAATGTATATTCTTAAAATAATCTAGCCTTACAAATTAGGAAAGAGCATGAAAGTGTTGTCTCAGAAGACAGAAAACATATCAGTTAAATGTATTTACTTTTCCATTGTTTAATCTGTGTTTTAATCTCTCCCTCCCCTCCTGCAGGGCATGGAATCTGGGTCTGGCAGTATGATGACAAAAAGAAACCTGCCTTTGATGTCCCAGGTCCTGATGGAAAGTATTGGCCTCCAGCTCAAGCTGCGTTTTATTTATTTTTGACAATGATTATAGTCCTTCAGGTAACAATGAAGCATAATACTGAAATAACATAGATGTTATTTGTGACAAGTCATTGATTTTTTTTAAAAAAAAGAGAGGCATAATTAATGATAATTAATTGTTGGTTTCTTTTTGGTTTAAATAGATAAGATTCATTACAGTCGTAAGTGCCAGAATAGTATGGTTGCTTCCAAGAAAATATAAAATTGTTTTTCATAAATACTACCCACAATATCCAAAGTTTATCTCTAAAATCCTAAAAAACCTGTTCACTACAAACTGGACCAGCACCCAACGTATGAAGCAAAACCTAAGACATTTGACAACTTGAAATCCCAGGGGAGGAGGCCCAGTTTTAAACCAGATAGAGTACGAATTTGGACTTCGCTATTTTTAGATTATTAGCATGTAACCAGAATTCCATAAGGTAATATTTATTTATATAACATTCACTGATATTTGAGCAAAGATCAGACTACCATCCAAAACAATAAAACAAAAAATAAGACAAATGTATCACAATTCACCTAGGAAAGTGCATATTAATAAAATATGAACTAAATTTAGTATTAAACTCTTCTGTTCTCCCAAGGAGTCAAAACAAATGATAAATAAAATCTACAATAATCTCTATAAAAATTTCAATAGAGAAGTACACACTGTTTTAACTCTTCCAAAATCACGAACATATATAATCAGTCACAGGAATTTTATTATATCTACCATTTAAAAAGTCTGAGAGTTTTCCTGGGTCAAAAAAAATTCTTACACTGGGGGGAGGTTAATGCACTTGGGTAGTTTTACTGGTTCCCATATATTCTTACGGATGAGTATTATATGCTTCTATATTAAGGAGCCAATTTCAGCTTCAGGGTCTATGTCCTCCAGCCTGTGATAGATAATCCTTTTTGCCTGATCATAGCCAACAGAAATAAGATAATCTTTGGCTAATCCAATGGGATTTAATTTATTTTCCCCTTATGAAGCCCACAGTAGAAAAATAATCATCTGCTAGAGCCAATAGTGCCAGGCTCAATGGAGAAAAAATTAATTTCAGCCAGTACTGCTGAGCCCTCTATATCCAAATCAAGGAAACTCTGTCTCAAGTCTGAAAACTGCCCTGAGAAATTTAGGCTTTATGACCTCTTTGGGGTTTTCTTAAAAAAAGAAAAATCTGTGCTGTATAAAATCTGGGTTGGGATTTTGGCCTCAAAATATTTAAGGGCCACAGATTTAAAAAACCTGCATCCTCTAGTTTTTTTAAAAAACAAATGTAGATAGTCATTTAGATGCTGCTTGCGTGATGTATTTGTAGTGACTTTTCCTGGATCTTGTGGTATAAAATATTGTTCTAAGGCAGTGGTTCTCAACCTTTTTAATGCCGCGACCCCCAACCAGTCGTAAGTCGAGGACTACTCAACCGGTCGTAAGTCGAGGACTACTCAACTGGTGCAGCACCGTTTGCAGAATGGGACTTTTGGCGGGCTCAGCAGGGCAGAGACAGCCTGGACAATTCCTATTGGCTTTTGAAAGCCAATAGAATTAGACTCTATTCAAGAGAGTCTATTCTATTGGCTTTCAAAAGCCAATAGCATAAAAGGGAGTAGCACAGCTAAGGAAAAGGGGGGGGGGAAATGGCGGACTTCGTTGTTTGGCGACCCCCGTGAAATGGTCGTTTGACCCCAAATGGGTCCCGACCCACAGGTTGAGAACCACTGTTCTAAGGTATTGAAAGAGAGAGAGTCATTTTATACTATTTCCACCCACAATCCTTCTGTGCTGTTTCAGTTGCTAGAAATGTCATTTATTTGGACTTCTGACAGTTTTTGATCAATTTTTGGAACTCACAGAAGTGAATAATAGCCTTCGATACTCTTCAGTCAAAGTATAAGAGATAACTCCCACATCATTGGCATAAAGGACTAAAGATGTGTGCTGGCAATTTTAGAAACATGGACTTCCAAGCATTCTAAGGCTCCTACCTTATCATTAATATGGAATATGGACAAGGCCTGGCTAAAATGCAGCAATCCTGTACCTCTCTTGCAATTGGCACACTCTTTGGAGTTACACTTGGAGCAATATATTAAAAACATCAGATGCCTATTGATAGTAGTGTTTTGTGGTCTTTTCCCATAATAAAGTTCAAGATATCAAATTAAATACAGTTTTAAAATCAAGGAAGACCATATAAAAAGGAGTTTTAATTTTATGGATTGGGGTATTTTACTGCAAAAATTGTATTTATTGGATTATACAACACAAAAATGGGATCCACATTCAAGCACCCTGTCTGAAATCCCATCTGTTTCATTCCAATGGTTGTTCAAAGTTTAGCCTGTTCTGTAATATCTAGTCCAGGCATCTCACATAAGGTTTGGTGATTACACTCAAAAGGGTGATAGGCATTTGAGCAAATGGATCTCATTTGGTTCTTTCTTAAGAATAGGCACAATAAGCAGCTACAATAGCATTTTTGCTTCAAAAATGTTTAAAGCAGTAAAAAAAAACCTTGGTCACCTCTTGTCCAGTAGAATTTAGAGACAATGACCACAGTTCTACGATTGCACTATATATTTCACAGGTATTGAAAATTTTATTTATATTTCATGTACCTTCTAGGTACATAAAAATCTTATTTATTTTGTCTATTGCCAGCTACATTTTTCTGATTTTCTTTAAAAAGCTATAACTTTGGTTTTTCTTCCTTTATCAGCAGCTGTTCAGAGTTGCAATACCCAAAAATAACCAAATGATGTAAGATAAGTTATGATAATTATCAGATACTGTAGCATAAGGAAATAATAGTTATGATACTTGAGTAACACATTTAAATAAAAAATGAACAATAAAGGACTATTTGGGGCAGGAATTCCTCTGAACAGTTGGTACTGAAGATTGCACTTAACTCCGGAATATGCATTACTGTATAGCTGTTGACTGAAAAGACACATATTTGCTTCAAATTAAATTTCAAGATAGCAAGACTTAAAATGGCTCAGTGTTGATACTAAAGCTCCACCTGTAAGATTGTGTGTTTTTAGCTAGATTCCATACAATTTGGACATTGGTCAAGAATAGCTTCTCCTTCGCTAAAAAGCTGTCTATTCTTCCATTAAGAGGGTCTTCCCAATCTCTGACAATTTCCAATTTAAATAACTAGCTCACATTTTGACAATAATGCTTAGCAAGCCAATCATTTGATTATCAGCAATCTTTTTACCTTACATATAATGAAAGTGGAGCCCCCCCCATCTTTTAAGGATGTTGGCAATATGATTTTAAGTGAAATTACATATCTATCTAAGTCTCCACTAGATGTTCTTACAGATTTCATTTGTGTAATGAATTTCAGAGGCCATAACTGAAGATCAGTTTGGTAATGGATCAAAACTAAACCTAAAATTAGCAATAAAAATGGTGCAGAAATATAATTCTAGGTAACAGTGAAAATTGAATAATCATGGATCAACTATCATGTAAACTGCTGTCAGATGCCTCCCAAAACCCACAAATTTCTTTTTTTAGTAACTATGACTAAATATTCCCAATATTTCTTAAAGCATTATTATTTTTCATCAAATGTTTAGACTTACTTTTCCTAAGAACAAAGGTGTTGTGGAAATGTGGGATAATTATGTAATGTGTAATTGGCTATTATAGCATTTTTAGCCTGCACACCATCAAAACATTGCTTACAATTCATGAAAGAAACTGATGGCCTTTGTTTCTAATCAATTGCATGGGAGATAAAGGTATCTTAACATTGTTTGATTACAAGGTTGAAGGTTGACTCAGCCTTCCATCCTTCCAAGGTCGGTAAAATGAGGACCCAGATTGTTGGGGGCAACATGCTAACTCTGTAAAATCGCTTAGAGAGAATTGTAAAAGCACAGTGAAGCGGTATATAAGTCTACATGCTAGTGCTATTGTTATTACAGGCAGTCCTGGGTTAGGATCCATTCCTAAGTATGTCTTTAAATTGAGTTTGTAGGTAATAGTAATAGTAATAGTAGTAAAGTTGGAAGGGACCTTGGAGGTCATCTAGTCCAACCCCCTGCTCGGGCAGGAAACCCTACACCATTTCGGACAAATGGCTGTCCAGTCTCTTCTTAAAAACTTCCAGTGTTGGAGCATTTACTGCTTCTGGAGGCAAGCTGTTCCACTGATTAATTGTTCTCACTGTCAGGAAGTAAGAAGGTAAGAAGGAACAGGTACATACAGTTCTTATTTAGCATCAATTAGTCAACTGTTTGTCACAGTATATAGTATATATTTTACCTTTTCTTGAAATAGGCATCAAGGGAGGTCATGTAGAGCTGGGGCCCTCAGAACTGTAGTAAACTTTGATGAACCTCTCTGTATTAGGATCTTACTAACTATACCACCCCTGCTTCAGTGAGATGCAAGGCTTCAGCTAAATCTTTCATCAAAATCTTTTTCAGTTCTGGATTTTTTAGGTCCAAGACTTCTTTCTCACATGCTATTGTCTGCTGCTCTGATTGCTTTATTATTTCCACTTTATTTTCATAATTATTTTCCTTTTCTTTGATGTATCATCAGCACTTTCATTCGATTTACACTTTGGAGGCATGGTTACAAGAGTAAATAAGAGAAAAATAGAAAATTACATACTCAACACAGTGTTAACTGCAACATGCAAAATGGTGGATGATATTCAAGCTGATGAATTGTTGAAGTTATGAAGTGTTTTCTTGAACATCACTAAGTAGCACATTCATTATTTTGAACTATTGTTTTAGTTCAATTGTTTAATATAAAAAGTTTTCTGTAGCTATCTGTTCATAAGTACAAGTTGTCTGTAAGTTGGACATTATTAATCTGCAACTGCCTGTCTTTTGAGGCTAGAGAGTTGAATGCAATGGAGTGAGTTGGTTCCAAGATAACTTACACATTTATCCAATTAATTGGTCAAGTCACATAAACTTTCAATTTATGTGTTTCTTAGAAAAAGATCCAAACTAACTTCTCTCTTGTACATACTCTTATTTGTAGTTAATGCAATGGCAGTAAATGTTGGAGAAATATAGAAATATAGTTATAATTAACTTCCAGAAACAAAGAGATCTCTACAGATCTCTGTACTTTGAATAGAATATTAAACTTAATTAAATATTTAGGAAGCAAGTGGTTGGCATGCATGGACTGTTAAAGACACAGAATGTTCAGGGATTATCTGTGGCTAGCAAAGGCATTAGCTGGGATTTCATCCATTTCTGATTACTTTACTAGCCACCATGGTTTTCCTGGTCATTGCTGAGCTGGGAATTTGACACCAGTGAAAAATCCTGAAGTTTTCCAACACATTCCTGGGCCCACTTTATTTCACAGGTTTATCTTTGGAGAAGAGAATGCTGTGTACACTGCTTCAAACATAGAAGGAAAGTAATATTCTGTTGCGAATCAAGGCTTTTATGAGGTTTCAGAAAGTATGTGAAAAACTGTTAAAAATATCTGAGAAAAAAAATATAACACTTTGCTTAGCAATTACAGAACATGTTGCTCATTTCCACAAAAGCAACTGTTGAGGCAATTTCTTTTGCACATAGATCTACACTATGTTTCTCATTTCAAGTTGTGCTGGAAAGCTCAATTGAAAATCTGTTGTGCTTATCAACAAAATGTTAGGATTATTAATTAATGTTGTTTTCTTTTGCAAGCTCTTTTATGCTGGCATGATTCTGACTGCAGTCTCTCTTTTCCTCCTCCCAATCCCTCCACCCCTACAATCTTTTCCTTATTTTCCTAGCTTCTTTCAAGCTCATCTTATTACCCTGAAAGTATTTACTTCTTTTGAAGCTTTTGATAATAATACCACCAGACCTAATTATGGATATCATCTCTGCAGCTGCTCCATATGCTTTCCTAATCTGTCACAGTAAACCTTTGCAGATACTCTAATAATTTTACAATGCTGGCTTTAAGTCAGAATATATAAATTCGCAAAAAAGGTACAGTACGATACTGCACTATTCATAACCACTTGATTCAATTATGCATCTTTTCTACCACTTTGGTTTGTTTGTACGGTTAATGACTCTCTATTTTTATGCATTCCAGGTTCTCATTCCAATTTCCTTATATGTCTCCATTGAAATTGTTAAAATATGCCAAGTTTATTTTATTCATCAAGATAAGGATTTATTTGATGAAGAGACAGACTTTCAGCTACAATGTCGAGCTTTGAATATCACAGAAGATTTAGGGCAGATTCAATATATATTTTCTGACAAGACTGGAACTCTCACTGAGAATAAAATGGTTTTCCGGAGGTGTACAGTTTCTGGCATAGAATATTCCCATGATGCTAATGGTAGGTGTAATACATTTTCATTTAATTTAACACGCATGGATTGGTATGCATCATAAAAATCAAGTGCATGGTTTTAGATGTGTAAACAACCAGCATGGAAAATTGTAAAGATGATAAAAATAGCATATAAAAATAAAGGCCAACCTGAAATCAACTCCATGTAAATGATTTGGAGGGTAAGTCTCAATGTTTAGTTGCTTGCGGGCATTTCCCTGCTTTCCATATATAGATTATAATTTTAATTTGTGACATCTTTAGCTAAAAGGACCTGAAGTACCAGATGGTGGGCAAGGCACTCTTATTGAAATTTTGGAAAGTAATCTGTAATGATAATCTAAGAAAATAAGACATATAATACTCACCCAACCATCCTCTTCAAGTTCTGCTGTGCAGGCTGTGTGGGGTAAAAAAAAAAGTTGGGAGTGCATGCCAAGTGTACCTAATTCTGTAAAACTGTAAAAGTTTCCCAACTGCCCAGATAAAACAACAGACGTCTATAACTGGCAGCAGTGATAGGAAAATGCTGGAAGTGGAAGATCACTTTAGTGATAATAGCAAAGGAAACATTTCATACTACACAGAAGAAGGCAATGCTAAACTACTATATTTTAACAAGAAAACATGATGATTAACTAGGGTCAGATGATGTGCCCTCAAGTCAGATGACATTCACATTGATACTCGAGGATTATGTTTATGATGTGTTTAGATTAAAGCCTTTGAGAAGTCATGTTGCTATACAGGAAAAAAAACTGAAGTTGCAAACAGAATAGTAGTGGGAACATGGAATGTAAGAATATGAGAAAGCTCAAACATATTGAAACATGAATCAACTACACATTGACATTGTAGGCATCAATGAAATGAGATGAACCGGCACTGGATATTTTTAATCAGAAAATCACACTGTTTACTACTAAGGATATGAAAAACAAATAAGGAATGGCATTTTCATAATTAAGGGTGAAGCAAGAACATTGCTTTGGTTACAATGCAGTGATTTAAAAACAGCCCTTTAATATGACAATTATCCAAATTTATGTTCCAAATACCTATGCAGAAGAAGAGGAGGTTGATGAGTTTTATGATTATCTTCAATTTAAAATTGATGGAACATGAAAACAAAATGTGCATTTTGGATGGAAAGCAGAATCTGAAGTTGAAAATATTATGGAGAAAAATGTACTTAGGCTGAATTGGAAGAGAATGGGTGTAGTTTTAAAACTGGAGAAAGAAACATCAATATCATGTGCCTTGTTGATGACACTATTCAGATTGCTGTTTTACAAATAAGAAGAACAACATATAGAAATATCACTTGACCATAGTCGCTATGGAGTTCAGTGGCCTTTAAATGTGGGTGGGTGAATGGATGGATGGATAGATAGATGAGTAAATAAATAAATAATTGAAAAATGGAAATGGTATTCAAGTTCTAGCAAAGAACTTCAAGGAGCACAGTGAAAAAAAGGACTAAGATTAAATGTTAAAAAGACCATACTAATCACAACAGGCACAGCAGTTTTAAAACTGGCACTGAAGTAGGGATGGCTTCTGTCTTTTAGAATCAAATTGTCAGTAGTAAAGCAACCAGAAGTCAAGAAATATGCAGCATAACATTAGGTCAAAATTAGGAACTTGAAATTCAAGTACGATGTCTGTACTTACAAATATCAGAATTGTGCTGGCAATAGTTTTCCTTGTGTCACTCATCAGAAGTGAAAAACTGGACTTTGAAGAAGCAGGATAAAAAGAGTATTGATGCTTTTGAACTTTGGTGTTGAAAAAGATTCCTGAATAGCCAAGAAAACAAAAAAATTGATCATCAAACAATTCAATCCAATGCTCTTACTTGAGATATGAATGACCAGACTCAGATTATCCTACTTCAGTCATATTATGCAAAGACCTAGGTTTGAAGGAGTCTATAGTGCTGGAAAAAGTGCTAGGAAAGAGAAGACAATTATGGACAACACCAAAATAGATGGACACAATTAAAGCAGCAGTTGGGTATACCACTGGAAGGCCCATAGAACCAAGTTGGGAGCAGTTCCTGCTAGGAAAAAAAAATCCTCTCTATGTGGTTTCTAAGAGTTGACACCAGTGTGATGGCACATAATCAAAAAAAAATGTGACACTGGACTTAAAGAGTTCACATGTTGCACTAAGCTAATAATAAATAACTTTTTCAACTGAGGGCCACATCATTGTTGGTGGTGATAGTGCGGATTCAGAGCAGAGTTATGCTCTAATGTTAGCAGAAGGAGTAGGACTGAAATTTGTGCCATTTTTTTCCCCTCTTATTTGGGAAGATTGGTTGATTCCAGATGTTTCAACTTATCTATTTTAGATCTTAACTAATGTGACCGAAAAAGGGAAATAAATACACCATCAAAAATAGTCTTGGGTTTATTTTATAGTTGTGCAGGGTTCTGATGTTAGCAAAAATAGCCTGCAGACCTAACAAAACAAAGTAAAATTTCCTTGGGCTTTCCTTCTGTATAGACTCAATACATTCTGGGCAGGTTTGTCTGCTCCATTTTACAGGAGGCTAAATCAGCAATGAAATTGCCCCTTAAAATTTCATGTTAAATTTTTCACAAGTTATTTCCAAACCATTTAAAATGTCACAGCTCAATCTTACCTCCAGTTAAATATCAACAAATGTTTTAATAACACGTTGTCACTATATAAGTAGCATATAACTAATCCAATAAAAAATTCATTCAAGGACTGTCCCGGGCATCAGTCTTACATCATCCTCTCTAAGCTTAGCCCAGAGGCCCTATATACTTCATTTGTCCCAGACCTCTTCACATTTCAGAGCTCCTTAAAGACCTGAATGTTCCCTCAGGCCCTATACAGTATCAGGGAGACCTGAAGGAAATTTGCTACAACTGTTATATAAACAAAAAGGACTGAACCTTTCCTTAATTCTAGAAAACAACATAGTATTTTTAAAAGGTGCAGGCAGACTCCTGCCTGATTCAATATAGGCATGGGATTTGAATGCTGGGTGAGCCCGTGAATGTGCAGATTTCATTAGATTGTCCTAGCACGATATTGTCCTATTACTGTGTTTATATTTATATTATTGTTAATTTTATGTCTTGTTTTTTAATCTTGTGTTTGCCACTCAAAGTAGCAATGGCAAAATTGGCAGCTCTATAAATTAAGAAATTCAGAAACTCAGAAACTCAATGAACAAAGTGAGAATCCCCAAACTAAACAAGAAGACTACACCAAAATTAAACACACACAACTTCTAAAAAAATGACCCCATATATGAACAAAAATAAGAAAACTGATACACCCAAATTGAGCACAATAGGGAACAAACAGCTTCTGAAAAAAATGATCCTATATATGAACCTAAAGAGGAAGACCAATGGAAACATGTCACTTTTAGAAGAAAGCCGCAACCAAGAGCAAAGCCCCTACTATTTACCCTAGCCCACTCCAGTGAAGCCCCTCTGGAACTGAACAATTGCTTACATAGCCTCCACCTGGAAGAAAATATGCAGAGACCTATAAAAGAGTAGTCATCAATAGTTTCTAAAAAAAGAAATACAACCCAACATTCCTGTGACAGGAAGAAAAGTATCTCAGACTTTCATAGAAAAAAAAGACAAATATTAGTGATAGGAGATTCAGTTCTTTGGGGAACAGAAACTATATTCTGCAGACCGAATAGTCAATCTAGGGAGGTATGTAGTCTTCCTGGAGCAAAAATCAAAGTTGTAACCAAGAACTGTACTAAAATAATCAACCCCACATATTATATAACCCTTTCTCCTCCTACACATAGGGACCAATGACATAACAATGAATCTAAAAATAATAACAAGAGATTATGAACAGTTAGGGAAGAAAGTTAAAGAATTAGGAGCTCAAGTGGTGTTTTCATCTATACTTCCAACAAAAGGCCAACATCTAATGAGGGAGCAAAGAATTTAAGAAACGAACCACTGGCTTAAAAACTGGTGTCGTCCAGAGAACTTCAGTTTCCTAAACCATGGTCTGCATTACCTACATGAAGGGCTACTGGAAAGAGATGAAGTGAACCTCACAAGAACTGAAAAGAATATATTTGGAAAACGACTGGTTCATCTTATCAGAAGGGCTTTAAACTGAAATTGAGGCGGAGGAGGGTCAATCTTCAAGACCTTTAGAACCTAATTCCAAGCAAAAACCACTAGATAACCTATCATATAAGGAGATAGGTAGTAAAGAGAAAGAAGAAGAAAAGGAAAAACACAATGAAGTAGAGAGTGATGGAAAGGATGTAAAACCCAGATAAAAAGTAGGAGATATAAGAAATATACCCAAGACCTATAAAGGACTCAGATGCCTATACACAAATGCTCAAAGTTTAGGGAACAAAGAGGATGAACTTGAACTGCTAGTACATGAAGGTAAATATGATATAGTTGCCATTACTGAAACCTGGTGGGATGAAATTCATGACTGGAATGTACTGATGGAAGGATACAAACTATTCAAAAGAAAGAGACCTAAGAAAAGAGGAGGTGGAGTTGCATTATATATAAAAGATCACTACAACTCTACAGAAATCCACAAAACCAAGGATGAAAACTTCATAGAATCCATATGGGTCAATATAAAAGGAAAAAAGAATGACATTGCTATAGGCATATACTACAGGCCACCCATCCAAGCTGAAAAAATACATGAACTTTTTGCTAAACAATTAACAAATGTATGTAGCAAATATTCCACAGTAGTAATGGGAGACTTTAACTACCCTGATATCAACTGGGAGACAAACTCTGCAGCAAGTGGGAGATCAAACAGATTCTTAACCAACCTAGCTGAGAACTTTGTCATCCAAAAGGCAGAGGAGGGAACTAGAGGAAAAGCTATACTGGACCTAATTCTTACTAATAGAGAAGTGATAGCAGGAGTTGAAGTTTCCAGAACTTTGGGTGAAAGTGACCATGTTGTATTGAAATGCAATATAATGCAAATACAAGCAATAG